TGAGAGGCAAAATGTGACAACACCCGTGCCAGTTTGTGCTGGAAGATTCTCAGAGGGAGGCAAGCCCCTCCTGGAAGCTCGCTGTCAGGCAGAGACAGCGGCCAGCCCTCCAGGCGCCGCGGTCACGAGGCAGGGCGCCCACTGGCAGGAAGCCGGTGCTGTGGCGCTCTGGCTCGCCGGCTCCCCGGGGCAGGGCGGCGCCCAACCTCCCTGGCCAGCCGCATTTCCTCAGCGCGTTATAACTTTCACCTGCAGGGGAACCCACACAGTAGGTGTAGTTCTCTCATTTTAAAGAAAAACTAAGGCTTTGAGAGTTAAGTAACCAGTCCCAGATCACAATCTAGAAATTAGGGCCAGTTTGGAGCCGACATCTGAACTCTAAAGGTAGACTTAAGCCTCTATTAGGCAGAAAGAATCAGGAGTTTTCACACAGACCACTGTAGGAGCCTGTCAGCGGTCCCTGAAATAATGAGGACCGGCAGGAAACCCTTCTGCTGGGAACCCAGAAACAGACCAATATTTTTAACATGGAGGGCAGAAGCTTAACACACCCAAGGAACTATGGGCAGGGGCAAGTTGCTGGCTAGCAAAATACAAAGTAAAAACAGCCAACAAATACATATGCACAAATTTATCATAACTAATAAAGAAATGAAAATTTAAAATGTAGTTGTCGTTTTCCACCAGATGAACAAGGAAAATGTTAACTTGCTAGGATTCTTCTAAGTTGACACAGACAAGGGAAGTAGACACTTTCATACACTGCTAGTGGGAATGTTGATGACACTTCCTGCTAAATAGCAGAGGCTGCATCCAGAACATTCTGCACGTGCACACACCCTGACATGCATTTATCCTCCATCACTAGTCACTGGGTGTGCGGACGGATGTTCTTCACAGTACTGCAGGTCACCTGCACCGCAGGGAAATAACTCGTCACGTACAGCACCCCCAGGGGCCCCTAAATGGTCATGAAAAGTAACGCAGACTCTGTGATATCTATGCACATTTAAATGCACATACCCTACTAGAAAACTTGATATAATTTAAATGACGATCGATAGGACACTGCTTACATTAATAAAGTGCACCCACACGACAGATGACTCCATCACTGGGAAGAATTAAGTCCATGTGGAAGAAAACAGGCTAGCCCAAAGACTCACTGAAGGAATAAAGCAAGTGCAGACAGCGTGGAAAGGGAAAACGAGAAATACGTGTACAGAGACACAGGCACACGCACATCGTGATGGCTAAGAAACTGGCAGCCGCTGCTCCAGCAGCAGGGGGGCAGGGCTGGGAGGGGAGGGCGCGTCCCACAGGCGGTGCCTCCACACATCTGCCGTGTGCCTCTCTGTCTTCTTGGGTGTTTTCAAACATCCTGCCGTGAAACACATTACTTCTATAATCAGACGAAAACACTACTTAAATTGTCAGGGGAAAAGCAGGTGCCTCACAGGATCATCGTAGATTGTACGGGAAAGAGGAGACAGTCCAAATCCCCACAGAGATGGCTTATAGTTTTTATAAAAACTATAGTTTTTTATAAAACTTTATTTTTAATAAATTTTTATTTTCAAAAATTTTTTTAAAATTTTTACATTTTTATAAAAATTTATAGTTTTATAAAATGAAACACTGGAAAGAGAATCCAGAAAGAAACCTAACATAACAGTTCCACAGGGATGGGCATAACGGGTGCAAGGAAGGAGCAACAACAAGGCGTCTCTTCACAGTGTTAACCACTGAACTCCGACGACCTTTTACTAAATATCTGAAAAATAAAGGAAAATGGGAATAGGGGAAGAGATACTATCCAACTGGAAACAAACGGGACCAATGAGCCTGCAGTGTGGCAAAGGGGAGACCCACACAAAAAGTAATTATACTCTGACGGCACATGGGCACTGTGACCCCATAACCCCAGAGGGATGGAGTCTGAGTGAAAAGAAATGTGAGCCCCGAACAGGCAAATGCACAGACACAGAAAGTGGACCAGCGGGAATGAGGGGGGATGCTGACGGATGGTGATGAAACGTTCTGTAATTAGATAGTGGTGATGGCTGCACAAGTCTGTGAATACACTCACAGCCGCCGAATGATCAACTCAAAGGCTGAATTCTTTGGTATGTGAATTACATCTCAGTAAAGCTACCATTAAAACAAGAACTGCAAGGAAATCTTAAACTTTACCCAATAGTTTCACTGTTAACAGAAATGTCTGTATTAAATTTTTAAACTTATTTTGTGTCTATTTTAAGATAAAACATAACGTTGATATGCTGCTATAAGGAAATACGATTTTTATTAAAAGAGGGAAAAAAGAGGTAAAACAAAACGGCCTTGTAATACTACATTTTATCTGGATATGTCAAAATGAATTCAGACTGTCTACTTCATATGTACAGGTTTATCTCCTCCCCCAGCTCTGTCCCTGAAGAGGACTAGAATCCATGTCACTCCAGCAGCAACGGCACACTGAGCATCCAGACGCTGGTGTCAAAATGCCATTTCCCCACAAAGGCAGCAAGGCTCCTCGGAGAAACGGCGGGTCTGGGGCAGAGTGCAACAGGTGAACAGGGCCGAGAGCCAGGCCACGTGGGAGACACAGCCCGGGACGCAGGAGCCCTGCCTGGCCAAATCTAGTAAATCTGGTAGTTTCAGCATAAAAAGAGTACGACTGAATTGATAAACCATGATGTAACTACAAATCCTGAACTCCACAGCGACACTGAAAAGAGAGACAGAGAAAGAAAGACAAAGCCTCTTCTTTGAAGAGTCTCAGCAAGCACACGTAAGAGAAGTGAACAGAATGCGACAACACGACCTTGCCGAAACCACTGAGTGCACCGGGAAGGTGACGCCCCCCAGAGGCTGCTGGAGCCGCGGGGTCGAGGGCCTTAGGGAACGAGACAGCCACGCCGCGTATCTCCTCACATGTTCTCAATATTCACAAAAGGGAAATAAACAGTGAGCTGGTGGCCATCCCTTAGTCAAGTGATCAAACGTAACATCACGAACAGTCCACGGCCTGGCCCCACGGCCCCCACGGGGATGCAGTATGAAGTCCACAGCACCAATGAGGTGTTCCCGCCAAAGGTTTAACCCGAATCAAGTCAAGCCTTGAGACGTCACTTCCAGTTACAGGAAAGAGGGCAACAGAAGAATAGGTTGAAAGACACCACAAAGAAAAAGACAAATCCTAAAGATGGGATGCTCAACAAAACTGGCCTGGGCTCTTCAAAAAGTCAACGCCACAGGGAAATAAAAGTAGAAAGACTGTTATAGCTCAGAAGCCTAAAAAGAGCAGTGGAATGTTACTCAGCTTTAGAGAAGAATGAAATTCTGACACCTGCTACGACATGGATGCACCTTGAGGACATTATGCTGAGAAAAGAAGCCAGACACAGAAGGACAAGTACTGCATGATTCCACTGATAGGAGGGACCTAGAGTCATCACAATCATGGGACAGAAAGCAGAAGGGTGGCGGCCAGAAGGGTGTGCACCTGCACACATAAAAATAGTTAAGATAGGGGCTGGCTCGGTGGCACAGCGGTTAAGTGCACACGTTCTGTTTCTGCGGCCTGGGGTTCGCCAGATCCCAGGTGCAGACATGGCACTGCTTGGCAAGCCATGCTGTGGCAGGTGTCCCACATATAAAGTAGAGGAAGATGGGCACGGACGTTAGCTCAGGGCCAGTCTTCCTCAGCAAAAAGAGGAGGATTGGCAGCAGATGTTAGCTCAGAGCTAATCTTCCTCAAAAAAAAAAAAGATTAAAAAAAACAGTTAAGATGGTAAATGTTATGTGTTTTCTAGCACTATTAAAATTTTTTTTTAAAAAAAGCCTAAGAAGACACAACATACAAATCCAACACATGAACTTTGACTGGATCCTGGCTAAAAAAAAAAAACTATAAAAGACATATTGGGACAAATGGAGAAATCAGAACTGAACTAGATAATTGGTCATATTAAGAAATTACTGCTAACTTTTCAAGTGTTCGGGTCACGCAGGAAAGCGTCCTTATTTCAGGAGTTGCATGCAGAATAGAGAAGTGTCATGGTGTCTGCAACGTTATTTCCTAGTGGTTCAACAACCATAAAATATGTATATACACGCACACACACAAATACACTCACCACTCCCAGAGACTGAGAAAAGAGCAATATAGCAAAATAATAACTCTTGAATCTACATGGTGAGTATGTAACTGTTTCTTAACTTTTCGATATGTTTGAAATTTTGTGTAAGATAATATCGGACATTTCTATTTAAGAAAAGCATAGAAAGATTCTTTTGTGAGGAGCACTCCCCTTGGGGTTTATTCTAAATTCGGTGCCACAGCTTTCAGTGGTTGGGGACTGCAGTGACGAAGGTCTGATTCCTATCTCGTCTGCTTAATTTGCAATCAAAATTAAACACGGCTTTACAGACCCAAAGACAAAGGAAAATCAAACTGTTTCTTGAAGTGTTCTCCAATTAGTGCACTTGTTTTCCATCATACGGAAATTCACATTCTGTGCTTCATGTCCAGACACACTGAAATTTTTCAGTAGTCTAAGAAGGCAAAAAGCAGCAACAAACCAACCCCACAGCGACACTAGACAGAAGGGGCTGGTGGTGGGAGAGGAAAGAAAAGGGGGAAGGAATCCAGCAAATGTGATTCCAGAGAGAAACTGTCATGAAAGGGAAGGGAAGGGAAGAAGGAGGTGTGGATTGGAATGCAAGAAGAGAAAAAGGAAAGTGCACCGAGAAAGAAACAGACAGAAAACAGAGCAGGAGGGACCTGAGGAAGAGGACAGGGGAATGCAGACACAGCACTGCGCGCTTTTAGGACAAGGAAGAGGATTTCAAACCCGGAGTAGAAGCCCGTTAGGGTCACAGGGCAACGGGGCGGGGACACCGGGACTCAGAGGTTTTGGGTCGCAGCTGCACACCAGCCCTTAGGACAGGTTCAGCAAGCTGGCAGCAATGCAGGAGTCAGGAAAACCCATTACCTTAATAGTGATGTAGTTTTTCAGTGATTTGGACATTTTTTCTTCCTTGCCTTTCACGTGCAAATGCCCTGAAACAAAAACAAAAACAACGTCATTCCTTCCGAATTGAGTGGGAAGAAAGGGACTCTTCCGCCCTAGAGGGGTGGAAGGCGAAAGGGTGCTTCTCCAACGGGTGCCTGAGCCCTGAGCTGGGACTGAGGGCCAGCCTGGGACACGAAGGAAATACCTGATCAGCCTGCATTGTTGATACAAGATTTCCCCCCAAACCTTCACCCACATTCGACCCTCTAGGACACTGGAGCCCACAGCTGCGCTTGTCCTAGGGCATCAGGTATGCCAGCACCAGGGGTGGGCAGCACCCTCAGGAGCAGATGAGGAGGCACTGACAGCAACAGTTCACGCCTCCCCCTCCCCGTAACTCAGAAACACAGACTGAACAGACGCGACAGCTGAAGAAAGGACCAACCTCTGGTTTACAAACCAGGCCCGGGCAGTGAGAGCTTGTTGATGGGCGTTCACAACTGCAGAGCAGGGCTAGGGCCCTGCGAATGAGCAACTACATTTTGTTTGTTTTCAGACTTATCAAGACCTTGGTATTATTTGTCCCCATGTATGTGAAAGACAGGAGGGGAACCTAACCCACGCGGGGACTCCTCCATCCAAGCCTGGATTCCTCCCGGGCTGTATTCTGATGAGGTTTACTTCCAGGGGAGGCCTCTCCTTTCCTAACAGAAGATTCTTCCACTTTTTCTGACACGACTTCAAACACAAGAGTGCTCCAAGGCCAGTTATTTTTTTTTTATTAATGTTATGATAGATTACAACCTTGTGAGATTCCGGTTGTAGATTATTGTTAGTCATGTTGTGGGTACACCTCTTCCCCCTTTGTGCCCTCCCCCCACCCCCCTTTTCCCTGGTAACCACCGATCAGTTCTCCTTGTCAATATGTTAACTTCCACCTATGAGTGGAGTCATATAGAGTTCGTCTTTTTCTGACTGGCTTATTTTGCTTAACATAATACACTCAAGGTCCATCCACGTTGCTGCGAATGGGCCAATTTTGTCTTTTTTTATGGCTGAGTAGTATTCCATTGTGTATATATACCATATCTTCTTTATCCAATCATCAGTTTCTGGGCATGTAGGTTGGTTCCACGTCTTGGCTATTGTAAATAATGCTGCGATGAACATAGGGGTGCAAGGGACTCTTGGGATTTCTGATTTCAGGTTCTTAGGATAGAGACCCAGTAATGGGATGGCTGGGTCATAGGGTATTTCTATTTTTAACTTTTTGAGAAATCTCCATACTGTTTTCCATAGTGGCTGTACCAGTTTGCATTCCCACCAACAGTGTATGAGGGTTCCTTTTTCTCCCCAACCTCTCCAACATTTGTCACTCTTGGTTTTGGATGTTTTTGCCAATCTAACGGGTGTAAGGTGATATCTTAGTGTAGTTTTGATTTGCATTTCCCTGATGATTAGCGATGATGAACATCTTTTCATGTGTCTATTGGCCATATTTATATCTTCTTTTGAGAAATGTCTGTTCATGTCCTCTGCCCATTTTTTGATCGGGTTGTTTGTTTTTTTGTTGTTAAGCCGTGTAAGTTCTTTGTATATTATGGAGATTAACCCTTTGTCGGATAAGTGGCTTGTAAATATTTTTTCCCAATTAGTGAGCTGTTTTTTTGTTTCAATCCTGTTTTCCCTTGCCTTGAAGAAGCTCTTTAGTCTGATGAAGTCCCATTTGTTTATTCTTTCTATTGTTTCCCTCAACTGAGGAGTTATAGTGTCCGAAAAGATTCTTTTGAGACTGATGTCAAAGAGTGTACTGCCTATATTCTCTTCTAGAAGACTTATTGTTTCCGGCCTAATCTTTAGGTCTTTGATCCATTTTGAGTTTATTTTGGTGTGTGGTGAAAAAGAATGGTCTCCAAGGCCAATTTTTCTGAGAACTGGCTAAAATTTGGCTTCCAAAAAGAATTATAACTTTGAATACATGATTCTATGTAACACGTCATATACACCAAGCACAATGAGAATTTTAAAAAATTGACAATATCTGGAAAAGGAAACACATCTATCTTCCATCCACTTACTTCAGCAAACAGGTACTGATTCTCCTGTGCATCAGGAGGCACAGCCGTCTTCCAGGACAGGGCAGAAATGGAATGAAGGTGATTCCTGCTGTCTTAATAGACTGTAAAGTCACGACGGAACAAAGTAACAAGTACCCTCCCTGGTTCCCACGTTTACAGTAAACGAGATGAGCTATTTTACGGACACACACCTCGTCAGGAACGGAGTGAGGCTGCGGAAGTGTGAGCCCCAGCACTGCCAGGAGCACCCTCTGACCTCGATCCACGATTCACAAAGGGCACGCTGCATTCCGCGGTGTTCGAGCAAACCGAGCCTCATCGAGCAGGACGGACGAAGTGTCTGCGGAGGGCGGCGCTAACTCCCAGACACCTCCAGCGAGGACTCGGCCGAGGCTGAGGCCAGGGACGCCCCTACCTGCTCCTGGGGCCTGGAGGGCTTCCTCCCCAGGAGGGCTGCGCACCGTGCCTCTAGGGGAGGGCTCGACTGCACGTGCTCTCTGCAGGGAAGCAGGGGCACCTGACTGTGGAGATCCATGGGACCGGAGTCGCCTCTGAAGCATTCCACCCCTGCCCCTGAGAGCACCAGCTGGAACGAACCAGGATGGTCAGGCTTCTGTCCTATCTAGGGATCTGCCCAGCATGTCACGGCATTGGCAGAAAGGAGGCGGACCCTGGCTACTGACGAGCTCCCCCGGGGAAATGGGGTGGAGTACTAGGTGAGCGCTCACGCGCTACCAACAGCAATTGAATCCGTTTCCGCCCTATTCATTCTCAGGCTGCTGTAAGACCCCGGTCATCACAGAGAACTGGGCCCATGAGGGGCGCAAGAACCAGTGTGATCCCGGGGATCTGGAGGGAAGAAGACACGGTGGTGAGCGCAGTCAGGGCAGGCAGCGCGCGGCTCGCTGTCTGAAGACACAGGTGCACCCTCCCGCAGATGCGCAGCAGCCGACTGCCCGTCACAAAACCCGAGTGTCACTGTGTTAATGTCGCCTCGCTGGGAAAACCTGGCGTCCTTAATTCAAGGACACAGAGAAACAGTTTTTCTTAATTCACTGAGCTTGCGATTATCTGCATCTCTCAACCCTTTCACTACCAAACAACCTTCACCTGTCTTTGCCCCAAGTACAAACGGTACATTCCAAAAAGGTAATAAAACTGGGGCAGGCCCCATGGCGCAGCGGTTAAGTTCGTGCACTCCGCTTCAGCGACCTATGGTTCGCAGGTTCAGATCCCAGGCACAGACCTACACACCACTTATCAAGCCATGCTGTGGCAGGCGTCCCACACATAAAGTAGAGGAAGATGGGCATGGATGTTAGCTCAGGGCCAGTCTTCCTCAAAAAAAAAGGTAACAAAACTGGTGCTCTGTGGCCCCACATCACAATTTGTCAAAATCTGGACCTGTGAATCTCCCCTGCGTCACGGTCAGCCCCCAAACAGCCGGGCTGCAGGTGCGGCTTGTTTCACAGCGTCCCGGCCACTCTGAGAACAGGTGGCTGCTGCTAGTCAGCTCTGCTTTCTGAAGAGTGAAACAGAAGGCAGTGTTAAAAGAGCATGACAGATGTGTACAGTGATGGTATTACAGCCCCAAGCGGCATATTCATAATCATTATGACATCACACTATTGAAACTCCTCAGCAGTTTTATGGGAAAGACACTGATGGAGAACGGCATTGTCCAACACCTTCCATATTCCATACCATTTCCAAAGGGTATACTCATTATTCCAGTCCAAGGAAGTCCAGGGCCAGCTGGCTAAAATCCAACAACAATTTAAGAAACAAATGCGTTTCTGGACCTATTAGCTGATCCACATATTTCCAAATGTAGCTGTTTCACCAAGAAACACGGAATTGGCCGAACTGAAGGAGGACAAATTCACGTGAAGTCATTACTTACCAGAATGTAGGAAATAATTTCCCCATTGCTTGCACTGATGGAAGACCTCACACTGCGCGATCTCGTTTTCGTGATGCGGAAAAGCCAGATCTATCCCTCCTGAGTGGATATCCAGCTGACTCCCAAACACCAAACTGCATGACACGGAACAGAGCAGGGAATTAATTCCATCGAACGCCACAGTTCTCCAGCCACAGCTCCCACTTAATCCTCCAGCCTTTATGCAATGAACAGAATAAATGGATCTCGGCTTTAAATCAATGTGCATGATAATTTAACTGATGCAAATGGACACTGAAATTCTGTTTCACTTCACAAAATCCCTAATTCAGAGCTTTTCCTCCCAGTAAAGAGACTTAATTCTCTTTGCTGCAGATACAACATACGGTTTTCAAAAACTTACAATATTATCTTTCCTTACTTTCAATAGGTAGAGTTTAGTGGTTTTCTAACCTTAACAAAAGAAATACAACTATAAGATCAAGAGAATCTTTAATTTGGCTTTTAAAAATTTAACTATTTAGTGGTCATATATGAAGAACGAGGTAAGAGAATTCAAAGCAACACACATCAGCCATCAGCATTTCTGCTATACATTCCTGAAAAAGCTCACGTCCCACAAAACTGCACACTAACACTAACAGAGCTGATGGGGACAACGAAATTGGCCAGACCCTCCACACCTGTGCCACCCTGCCGCCAGGGCACCTGCAAAAACAACACTGGTGCCAGCATGAACGGTCAGCTGACTAGCGGCTGCTTCGGAGGACATTCAAAATGCAAAAATCACTAAAAATACAACAGCCAGCACAGTGGACACATGGGCTTGGCGGGGCCGGAGTGAAGTGGCAGATGTGGAGCTCTGGAGGCCATCTCCGTGGGGAGAGTGAATTTCCTAAAAATGGTTCAAAACAAATGTTTTTAGAGGTGCCACAGCCCCGCTCAGGTCCGTCCGAGCTGAAGGTTGGGGCTCTTCTCCCACAGGCCCGGCTCAGGCCCCCAACGAACTGCACATCCCCGGTCACACTCGAGCTCAGTGGTGGTGGAGCCATGCACTGTGGCCGAGCAGGAGGCCCGTTATGGTACGTCCTTGGCCACGGGTTTGGAGAATCTCTAAGAGTCCTTGAAATTCAATTGCTAAGGAGGAGGCATGAGATGGGAGGGACCAGGATGGGGGAGGAGAGCACGGGGACCCCATTTGTATTTGTAACAAGTGATTCGTTTTTACAAAGATCTGAAGAAACAGGACAACGTTAAGATTTAATAAAGCTAAACTCTGGGTCCATGGTGTGCCTTATATTAGTCTCTATTCTTGTCTGTAGACTGATTTTAAAACAAGAGAAAGCTGAGAGGGATAAAAGTCTATTCTCATCTAGATTTCAACAAAAATAAGATATTTAATGGTGACATTACATTTGAAATGTTTTCCACCTGCTTTAGATAAATTATTTGAATGCTAAAAATAAATATCTTTCTGTAACCCAAGGTATATGCCACATTGATGTTAAATCAACAAATATATAAATACATATAAGAGTTTACAGTAGGATGAGGGCTGGACATAGTTATTTCTTTTTGAATGAAAAGCTGGACCCCTGCTTCAGACTAACAATACAGGTGATGTCTCATTAACTCGCGGATGCGTTTCCAGATGAGCATCACAGACATCACTACAGGGAAGGGCGGCAGGGGAGGTGCGGTGGAAAAGGAGTCTCTTTCAGGCCCAGGGGAACTGAATCCGGATGGGCAGGCTGTGGACGAGGAGGCTTTCCACCCAGGAGGAGGGGGTGACCCCATGCTGAGAAGGAAACCAGCCCAGGGTCAGGGCACGGGGCGGAGGGCCCTTCCAGGAGTTACCCCTGCTGACACCTGGTTACACAGCCAGAGGACAGCACCACACGCCACAACCAATTTGCAGGTGACTGGGTTTGGGGATCTTGAAATGTTTAGTGTAGACAGTAGTTTGAAATGGTCACCTTAGTCATACTTTATGTTTCTATTTTAAAAACTGCTTAGTAAACACCTGCAATGAATTGAAACACATCAAATACATCAAAATCTGAGTGAATAATGAGACTGAAAAACCCCTCATGTCCATAAACAGGAAACATACACACAAAGCCATTCACTGCAGGTATCTGTAATAGCAAAATACTGAAGAAGCTAAACGCTCCTCCACAGGGTCAAATGGATGGTGGTCCAGCCACAAAGGACAGCACCACCAGGCCGAGACAGATGACGAAGGGCCGGGCAAACTGATCCCCAGGCAGTCCCAGGACAGACTGCTGAGCGATAACAGATAGTGCAGGAGAGAACGTTCAGGACACTGCCTTCTGTACTGCGCAAATGCACACGCACACACATGTACACGCACACACTCACAGGCACAAGAAAAGGGGCGCCTGGCCACTGGCAGCACAGGAAGTGCTGAAGGAACCGTCTATAGAGGAGATCCAAAAGGTGGAGGAAGCCCCAGCAGAAAGGCCGAGACCAGAGGAAAGCTGTTTCACAGAAGCCAAGGAAGGAGCAGCACGTCAGCTGCCCATCACTGATCAGGCTGACAGTGGAGGCCACCAGTGACCTCAGGGGACCAGAGTCAGTGGGGACACCTGGCAGGCAACGGCAGATGGTGCCATGCACATGCAGATGGTGAGAAGAGCAGCAGAGAAAAGAGGGCCGCTGGAGGGGATGGGCATCAGAGCAGCATCCGTGTTATGGTTATGGAGAATCCCAAGACAGAAACGGCCCAGACTGGTGTTGCCTAAGATGCCGAGCTGGTAGAAAGGGCCGAACAAAGACTGCAGAGCCAGGAAAGCGGACAGTGAGGGCAATTCTCGATGGATCGATCAAGAGCCAGCTCTGGGGCAGCAGGTCTGCTGACTGAGAGCGGGTCAGAGGAAGCTCGTTCCGTCCCATCCCTGAGGGGCTCTGTCCTCACCCAGGACCTCAACTGCGGGGGCGGGCGAGGTGGGGTTGCTTTCCTGAACCCACCGAGAAAAGAGATGCAGGCACACCTGGCACTGGTCTGTGACGGGAAAGCAGGAACCAGACGGGGCTTCTCCACTATGAAGAGGCGGTGCTGCTGGAGAGACCACCGTGCCCTGGAGTGGCTTTGACTCCCTGCTCACAGCCGGCCCCACCAGAGCACTAAGCTTTCTTCCCAAGCTGGGACCAAGCCACTCGGCTCCACCCTGCCGAGCGAGTCAGGCCCTGCTGGACTTCACTTCAACACAAACGTGAAGAATCCAGGAAAACCTCACCTTGAGATGGTAGAACATTCGATGTGCCAGCCAGGTCTTCCATTTCCCCATGGAGAGGCCCAAAACATCTCCTGGGGCTTAGCCGCCTTCCACAGGGCAAAGTCGCTGGCATGCCGCTTGTCAGACTCAACTGCCAATAACAAACGGTTCATGAGTGGGAGGCAATGACGAACAGGCAAAGCAACGCAAAATCGCCACAAAACCGAGACGCAGGAAGCTCTCCCCAAAGACCCTGCTCCTTCGTATGGGAAACCTCACATTTCTCATGCACATGTCTTTCTCTTTCCCCACACGACGGCTCGAAGGGCTACCAGATACTTGTCCCTAAAATACGCCAGAAGCACGAGGTGAGCCCCGTTTCAGAGGGGGAATAAGGTCGAGATTTCAAACACGCACAGTGACGCCTCCTTCCCAGGGGCGCGCTGGCCTGAGCACTGTCCCCTCCCTGTGTTATCAGTAACTGAGCTTCAGAGGAACATGGTCCAGAAAAAGATGATAATCATACAGAGGGAAAAAGAAACTACCAGAGTGCCAATCACACTCAAAAAGTAAGACCACCCAGAAGAGGAGGCTGGGTGACTGCTGAAGGTACCACGAGCCAGGTGGGGCTCTTTTATGCTCCCAAACCTGCAAGCAACCAAGAGGCCCTTCAGTAGGGGAATGGGGACATAGTCTGTGCAACATCCAGACGAGGGGATATTACTCAGCGCTAAAAAGAAATGAGCTGTCAAGCTATGAAATGACATGGGGGAACCTTATATGCATATTTCTAAGTGAGGGAAGCCAATCCAAAAGGCCACATACTCTATGACTCCAACTACAGGACATTCTGGAAAAGGCAAACTTTGGAGAGAAAGGTGAGTGGCTGTCAGGAGTGAGTGGGGAGGGATGACCAGGCGGAGCATGGAGGATTTCCAGGGCAGTGAAACTACGCTACGTGATATTATGATGATGGATACGTGGCATCACGCATTTGTCCAAACCCACAGGATCCACAACACAGAGTGAGCCCTGACGTACGCTCTGGACTCGAGTGTTGAAGGTTCACCGACGGTAACAAATGTACCACTTGGTGGGGATGCCGAGAGCGGGGGAGGCTGGGCGTGGGGGGGGCACGGGGTATACAGGAAATCTCTCGCCTTCCTCTCATTTTCACTACGAACCTAAAATTGCTCTAAAAAATAAAGTCTATTTGAAAAAACAGGGTTGCTGAGGCCAGACTGTGTGAGTCTCAGAACGTCCCCCTCTGCCCTGATGAGTCACGGCCACACCTCGCAGGCATAGGTGATCTGGGGGTTTTCTGTCCTGCCCTTTAGGGAGGGAGCAGGATAAGACTGACTGAGTACAAGTAACAAATCTCATTCCTGAGGAGTCAAACAATGCTGTTAGGAACTAGATTTCAACAGCACAGTTTAGAGGGCAGGAGGATTATGCCTAAAGACAAAAAATGGGGACAACATCTTTTGGGGTTTTGCTTTGTTCTCTTAAATAGTATGCGTTACAGGGCTGGCCCCGTGGCCGAGTGGTTGAGTTTGCGTGCTCTGCTTCAGCAGCCCAGGGTTTCGCTGGTTCAGATCCTGGGCGCGAACATGGCACCGCTCATCAAGCCATGCTGAGGCAGCATCCCATATGCCACAACTAGAAGGACCCACAACTAAAAATATACAACTATGTACCAGGGGGCTTTGGGGAGAAAAAGGAAAAATAAATCTTTAAAAAAAAAATAGTATCCTTTAAAATTACTTTTCTTTTAGTTCTATATACTTATTTCTTCTCTATAAAAATGACTTTGATCTAACAATCACTGGAACCGAAGAGAGGACAGGAATAGATTCAAACACACTGGGAGCGCAATATATGGAAACATTTATATGGGAATTTAACGTATGATAAAACACCTGTGGGAATTTAATATATGACAACAGCAAGATGGAGAAGAGCGTTAAACATGACACATGCACGTGCACGAGGCACAGGCAGAGAGCACGTCTGGAAGGAAGCAGAGAACGGGCGGATGCCGACTTGGAGCAGAGCCGGGGACCAGGAGGACGTTAGGAGCAGGTGCAACTCGCTGTGTGAACTTTAAACTCTACGAGTTTTCTCTATTCCAAAAAACCAAATTAAATTTAAAGCACGGCTGTGATCAACGATCTGGCATGAGTGGGGGTCCTCGCTCTCCACTGAGCTCGGGGGACTTGGGGGCCGAGGGTCCACCCACCTGGCTCTCCAACCGGGCCGGGGGCCACACCCACCAGCTTGCCGTACTTGTCTCCTCTGGACTGCAGATCGAAGTAGACGTTGCCTGTTTTGTAAAGGTAATTATGAACTCATCATTCCTCAGTGCTAAATATCAGCATCTGCACGAGCTTAATAGCTGGGAAGTAATCACAATTTAAACAATGTGGCATCTAGCCTTCATTTGGCCCCTTTCCTATATTTTTAAACCAGAATTAACACCACCACCACCACTTTACAAAAGCAGACATCTCCACACCAGGTGTGGAGGGGAAGACACAGGCCTAAGTTCTGTGTGAAATGCTGAGACAGTTCTTTTTAACGAGAAAAAGGAAAAGGGCGTCTTATCGCTGGCCTGCATCCAGCTGCGGCCTTTATGTTACACACTGACCGACGCCGAAACCCTTTCTTAACCCAGGCGTCTTGGAGACGATCTTCCTACTTAGACCACAGACACCTCCGCGCTCAAGCATCCCCGAGCTGCCCCTTCCCTGGGGTGTACAGTCCACGTTTTCAGACTGAGGGTGCAGGAGGACCTCGCCACGGGGCCACGCAGAGCAGGGCCAGCCCTGGCTACTTCCGACTCGAAGGTGGAAAGCAGCGGGGCAGGCACAGAGGGGTCCGGGCTGGCTCTCTCGGAGCCTGAGCCCGCTCACCTGCTCTGGGGCTGCTGCAGTCAAGGCAGAGAGTGGCCACCGGATCTGCATTCCTCAACCAGGGGGCGGGGGGGAAAACAGAGCCCCGCTGACGGGCCTGCCCCGTCCCCCTCAGGGCCCTCTGCACTCAGTGTGTAACTGGGCTCGCACTACGGGCCGAGATAAACCAATGAAACGGAGGAGCTACTGTGGGGGCTGCTTCCGATCAGAGAGAATGTACACACCGCTGGAAAGTCTTTCAAGAGAGGAAGAAACTGCTCCCTTTAATGGAGGAGACATTCTCCTGCCCCTTGGTTTATATTACCATTTTGCTGAATAAATTGTTTCTTCACAAACGGTTCACAGATCAAATTACAACCAAGCTTTTGTGGAAGTGTCACAAAGTCCAAATTAACAGCATCTGAGTGAATGTGAATTTATTTTGAATTAATTATGTTATTATTAAAAATGTACAATAATGCCTGGTAGTAAAACAATAAAAAGAAGAGCATTTCTTCCAGAAGTGTATTTGGGTGAGGCCCTCTAAGCCCCTCAGGAACGTGTGCCGGTTTATCTGGGTTCTACGTCCTCTTTCAAGTTACACGACAGCAGGACAACAGTCCCTGTATGTTCCGGAGCAACCTCCAGTTCGGTCACTAAGTCCTGTAGAATAACTTTTTCTTGGAAACAAAACCTACATACAGCAAAGACGACAGAGTAAAAGACTGCCAGTCCTCCCGTAGGCAGAGGCTGCGGCAGGGCAGCACGTGCTGCCGGGGCCCCTGCCAGGGACCCTGTGTGCTCGGGCAGGCCCGCGGAGGAAGTGCCTGCAGTCCAGGAAACCTGTGAACCATGGCCCCTCATCGGACTTCCTACTTTGTCACTTGCCTGCAACACGCGCTGCAGCACCCTGCACGTCCCAACCCAGGGCTGGGCACTCCAAGAGGTCATCCACTAAAAGCGAAGGGTTTTCTGGTCTGAGAATTGACAAAACATGAATGCATTAACAGCCAGCTAAGTCACTGGCTACGAGATGGTACAGGAAGATACGAAAGCTGAGAAAGTTCTCTCTCAGCTATGGGTGGAAAGAAAGAAAACCTCCTGGGGGCCGGACGCTCTGGTCAAGGCTTGTGGGATGGGTAGGATTTCGATTTGGGAAGAACGACTGGAAAGGAGGCGTGGCTGAAAACAACGCAGGATCACAGAAGCAGTGAAACGCCAGGATGCCCGTCTTTCCCCAAAGCCGCCAGACAACAAGCAGCAGCTCTTAAACCAACTAAACTCCACCAGAAGGAAGCCACCACGCAAATGCAGAGGACGGGGCCTTCTACAAGATGACTGCACGCTCAGTCTCTTCTGTTCCACAACAAGGGGAACAAAGAGGGGACTGGCGTAGGTTACAGAGACTGAGGGACCTGCTCAGATTACGATGTGGGGAGGGGTGACACTGAGTTCACATGAATGCACAGGAGACGTGCGATGCTACTGGGGACTGTCCAGTGTCTCAGGTCTGTCAACGACACTGGGGTCACGGCGGGTGACGTCTCTATTCAGAGAGGCACGCTGAAGTGTCAGGATGTCTGCAGCTTTTCTCACTGGTCTGCCAAAGACGATGCGCCCACAGGCGGAGAGGAGCGTCTGAGGGCTCGGCTCTAACGAGGGAGTGGGTCTTTAGAGGTACTGCCGTGGTCCCCCACTTTTTCCTATGACAAATTGTCAACATAGTTGAAAGAAGATGCCCCAGAACGCCTGCACACCACATCCAACAGCTGTGAGCATTTTGCCATATTTGCTTTACTTAGACTCGCCGTCCAGGTGTTCATCTCTTCCTGTGACCACGGAAAATATTTTTTAAAAGAACTGACTCAACAGTTTTGCAAAGAGACACAATAACCACAGAAAACCTCCCAACGTTTCTGCTGCAGAAATCACATTAAGACAGACAGTAAAGCATGTGGCACGTTCCAACAACTCATAAATGTGTCCAGTTCCTCAAAATCCTATCGGTGCAACCCAGAGACCAGTTGTAATGACATGACCCCTACCTTTTGCTGTTGAGTAGGCATGGCCTTTAGCGATTATTCCTTCAATGAAAGAAATTATCTGAGGAATATTTTCAGTTACCCTCAAGTACACTGTTGGTGGGAGGATCTGAAAGAAAGAAAGGAGAAAGGGCTGTTTCCATGGTTCAAAGGCGCAGGTCAGCCACAACCGGCCTTCACTGTTCAAGCTGCTCATGCTCGGGGCAAGAAGACTCAGCGAGACACTTTATTCACCTTCAAGGCCGCCATATCTTGTTTAAAATCTTCCTCGTAAAGGTTGGCGAGGGAAGTGGGTGACACGTTCATCTGCAAAAGACCGGGGTGCAGAGCAGTGAGTCTGGGGGATTCACAAGAGACCAGGCGGAGGCCCGCGCCCCGTCTGCACCGCCTCGCGCAGGGCAGCCGGGAGAGCTGGGCCTCGGCTCGGCGCTGCCTGCTCACAAAGGGGCCTTTAATTTTAGGGAGCAAACTTGTGCCAGTAGCTTAGCTGGTCAAAAAGGTTTACTCATCCTGCTTTCTGGTTAGAGAGGAAAAAGGAATAAACAATATCATGATTTCCACCACACAACTCAAAACAAAAACAAAAAACATACAAAAGAGCTTCCACTCTTCTGGGACAAGGGCCAGCCAGGTCAGTCTATGCTACATAACGACCAGAACTAGGAGCTCCCGTCTTATCCCTCAGCCCTCAGGGGGCAAAAGAAAACAAGCCAAAAATACATTAAAGAGGAAATCCCTAAGAAAGCAACATAGCACCTCAAAATAGGGACTGTGATGGGTGCTCAATCCAAAGGGGCGGTGGCTGGGCTCCTAGGGGCAGGCAAAACCCCCGGAAATGGACACTGCATTCTGAGCACAGGCCTTGGGGGTAGGGACCTGCAGGCTCTCAGAGGGGCTGGCACACAAGACTAGGCTCCCCAAAGGATTTCTTACTTTTCAGTGGAAAACAGTCCATGGACAGAAGCATGACATTATGAGGTTGCACCAGCTTCATTGCTGCTGAGCCTGCGAAGTGAGCCGTGAGCCGCTGGAACGCGACAGCATCTGCAGCACCTGCCCCGTGCTGGGCGCCCTACCCCGCTCCTCCCCAGCCCAGGGAACAGGGCTCCCCACCTTAAGGCGAAGAAATTCCAGCTCGGGAGTATGAAGGAACTTTCTCAAGTGAAACGCCCCCTCAAACCTCGTCGTCCTGAAGCCCACCTGCTTCCCATCTGGGGCCCTAAGGCGGCAATCACCCCAGAACCTCGACCAACGAACGTTAACCGAAGACACAAACCCGGTGAAGGGAGCGTTGCTGCCCCACCGTCTTTCTGGCTCTGTGGTCTGGGGCAAGACAATACGCCTCTGTGCCTTAGGGTTCCCGGCACAAGGACACAGTCCCACCTAACAATCTCTGAGACTGCTACGAGGATTCCAGGCGCACGGGCGAGGCACCTCCGGGAATGTAAAATTCTACGTTGACATCACCGTTAAAGGACCAGGCACCTGCACCCAGGCATGGCTGGAGATGGGTACACATCAGTCCTTTCCCTCGGTGCCACCCTGTGGCAGAGCAGGCCTCCTAAAAAGAAGTCAGTTAACCTACCATTATCCAGAGGACAAAAGCCAACCAAACAAAAAGCCTAAAAATTCAGTGTCATCTAGCCGCTTCAGAAGTTTCAAATACTATTCAATTTTGGAGCTAAAGATCAGCAATTGCCTGTATTTATTTATCTTTAAGTTTAATTTTCTGCACAGGTGATGCACTCCCAGGGAACTCGAATACATAAAGGGGTGCCCAGGGCCGGTTTCGCTCCCAGAAGGCAACACCGTCACCGGCCGTCTCAGGAGTACGGTCATACGTGTATCTGCATCCTCTTCCTGAAACGGAGCAACTAGCACACATGGCCTGCAGCTGGCTCCCCTTGCTAAGACCAGCACCCAGACCTGCATGTGCGCCATGCACGCCGAGCTGCCACCGTCCTTTCAAGGCTGTCTGCATCCCATCTGCAGACGCACCATGTATTCACTGGTCCTCTCCAAGTACTTTCTCATCTTTTGTTGTTACACAAACCGCACACACGTCACTTCACACATTTCTAAGCTCAGACCGAGACGTGAAACCGCTGGTCAGAGGACTTGCTCGTGTCCTTTGCTGGCTACTTACCGCCCACTGCTCCCGAGGAAGGTGTCCCGACTGGAGCCTGACCGGCAGTGCGTGCCACGCACATCTCCCGTACCATCACCAGACTTTGTCAACATGACGGCTAAAAATGCTTTCTTGCTGTCATTTTAACTTGTACTTCTCTTATTTTGAATGAGCATAAACAGCTCACATGTTTAGGAACCTTTTGTATTAAATGATCTGTAATTACCCAGACCCATTTTTCTATTGAGTTGTAGGTCTTTTCTTACTGATTTGCAGGAAGTTATTTTTATACAAAAGAAATTAACTATTTTATCTCTGATATGGATTTCAATTTTTTTCCACAGTCTTTCAACTTTATGGTTATTTTATGGCATGTAGAAAATTTCATTTTTATATTTAGCAATCTTTTATATTTCTCGATCTTTTCCCATAAATGGCTTCTGGGTTTGGAAACAAACGTAGAAAAGCCTTCCCTAATAAGAGGCTATAAAAAGTACCCTAAAGTTCCTTTAGTAATTTGTGGTGCCATTTCTTTTATGTTAAATCTCTGAATCTGCCTCAAATCTGGCTGTGAGGCATATCTCTAACTGTGATATATTTTTTCCCCAGATGGTTACCCAACTGTCAGCACTTTTTACTGAATAATTCCTCTGTTCTTCATTGATTTGAAATCCCATCTTTATCATAAAGCAAATTTCCTTATTTGTTGTCTCTATTTCTGGACTTTCTGTGTGTTCCATTATCCATCTATCAGGCATCTGTACAACAAGGTTTAATTTCTAGACTTCACAGGAACAGAAAGCAGACCGGCACGGGTTCAGGGACAGGGCGGCAGGGGGGTTGACAAGGGGCAAGGGAAACTTCTGGGGCAATGGATGGAGATGGTCACCATCTCGATGCTGGTGACAGGTTCACAGCTGTGCAATTTCTCCCACGCTGTACAGCGGGTGTGCACTATGCACTGTACCGTGGGTCTGTTCTACCTCCACAAAGCTGTGCAGAAAGAGAAAAGAACGTATGAAAACAAAAAGTCTTCTATAGCTTTTAAATATGTTCTAATATTTAATGGGGCTACTCCCTCCTCAATACTCTTCTTTTACAGACTTTTCCTGACTATTCTTGCTTTTTTTCTGTCCATGTGAACTTCAGATTCAGTTGCCTAGCTCTGAAAGGGGGGAATAATATGGACACACACTCTCCCTCTTCAGTGGCTCATCAAGTGTAACGCTGCCCCCCTGTTCCACATGTGGCTGGCACAGCCCTAGAGGACGGGATTCAGAAATGCTCAGGAGTGACAGAGAACCGTGAGTGCAATACCACCCATGCTGGCATTGGGGGCAGGAGGAATCACATTCTCTAAGAAAAACTTTAAATTTAATTTTAAGCAACTGTTCATACCACATAATGGGATAGTACTGCGTTCTCTCTCTCTCTCTCTCTCTCTGAAATAAACTACAGGAGGTAGCTGCTGAACTGGGGTCTCAGTCCTTGTTACTTCAGATTACTGTCTAGCTCTCCCGTATTATCAAAAACCACTTCAAGTCAGCTCTCTCCCTGGCCGGGACCCCACCGGTTGGGCCCTCAGCACTCAGACTAAGTGTCCAGTCTTCTTTCCGGGAAGAATGGCAACGTAGGCAGAGTCCCAAAACACAAAAAGAGTAACTTTGGTTTGAATCACTCTGACACATGTATTCTGATTTTCCTTTATTTTTGGTGAGGAAGATTGGCCCTGAGCTAACAACTGTTGCCCATCTTCCTCTATTTTGTATGTGGGACACCGCTACAGTGTGGCTTGATGAGCGGTGTGTAGGTCTGTGCCTGGGATCCGAACCTGTGAACCCAGGGCTGCCAAAGCGGAGTATGCGAACTTAACCACTACACCACTGGGCCGGCCCCTATTCTGATTTTTCTTAACACAAGATGTAACTGTGCAAATATACCACACCTCCTTTAATTCTCACCCTGGAAATCCTCCTGTGGTTTTTATCCCTGACAAACTATAAAACTGTGCCAAAATTTAAAGTCAAGAGAGTGATTCAGAAAGCTGCAATATTATAATTTAAAATATTTTAAAAACAAGTGGGGGAGCAGGTGGCATGAAAGATATTGCTGTCATTAAAAAGCTTGCATTAGATAAAAAGAACAGCCTTTTGCTAGATCCTAAACAATAGGTGTTTTCATAACTGTGTTTCAGATACATGGTCCATTGTCTTGAAGACACTATTTTGAGAAAAAACTGTTCAATGCCATATTAGCGTCTTGCTGTGTAATAAGTATGGAAATTGTCAAGTGTCAAAAATTAAAACTTCTCTACATTTAGGTTTTTTAAACCAACTGTGCCAACCTTCTCATATTCTAAAGTTTGTAAAAAGCAACAACCAGTGCCTCCTTGTGGTACTTGTGAAACCCCCTAAATAAACTCATCCTCCCTGCATTTCTGCCC